GCAAAAGGCTTTAGTCACTGTGGAGGATTGGGCAGATAAATGGGGATTTAAAGTTTCTGTGGCAAAGTCTAAATTTCTGATATTTGGCTACAAGACAAAGGTACCAGACTTTGTATGTATGGTGTCTCCCTGCTAGGTGCCTTATGCAAGGATAGTTGGACTCTGGCAGAAAAATAAGAAACAAATAATTTTCAGTGGACAAGAGAATTGAGAATGATGCAAGAAGACAAGGCACTTTACACAATTCATCTACCTATTCCTTATTGGTTAATGCAAGAAATGGATACTGATTTAACTTTTTACAAGAAAAAAAAAAATATATGACTGCTCAAAAATTGGAACAATATCTGAACAGTGGGAAGGGATCATATCTGAAAATTATTCCAGATGGTGCCAGGGAACCAGAGAGTGGGAGAGCAAGTTTGGGGGTGTATATAGCTCAACTGGACCTTAGGATTAGCAAGTGAATTACAGATGGAAGTTCTTTACAACAGAGCTACTGGCAATTCTTTGGGCTCTGTGGTGGATTGAGGACGTGAAAATAAGAGAAGCCTTAATCTGCTCTCATTCTGCAGCTGCCCTGATGGCCTTGAAAGGCGGTAAAGCAAAAGCCCGTCCTGATATCATAAGTGAAATTCTAGCCGTATTATTTAGAATTACAATGATGGTAGCAATGTTATGTTCTGCTGGGTCCCGGGACATGCTGGAATTGAAGGAAATGAAGTGGCAGACTTTTTAGCAAAATCAAGCTTAAATAAGTTAGAGACAGATATAATATGTTTTGTACTAAGAGTTGTGAAATTTTACCACATACTTGCGATAATAGTACCAAAGCAATAAAAAAAAAAACTGTAAAGACCATCCAAACATCATGTTTGTCCTGAGGTTGCCCTGTTTACAAGGAGCCCAAAGTGTGTCAGACACATCTGGTCATACAAAATAGTTCCTCCATTAGGACAAATTTGCCATTTGTGACAATGGCAACATGTCATACTTTTCATTTGCAGTTACAGTATTGTTCCTAGTTCTGTGGTTGAGATGTACTTTTTATAATGATGAATAAAAAGAGATGACGTGGAGCTCAGATAAGATAGTTGTCCATTGTTGATTGCTTAAACACAGTATTTTTGTCAAACATTTGCAGTAAACTTCACGGTCCATAACCTTTTCTATCCAAACCACAATTCTATTGTTTTTTTTGGCTGTCGGTGGGTGCTCACATTCAGTCAGTTGATCCAGTAGAACAACTTGTGGTTATTAAATTTGGGCACGTACAGCATCTCACAAAAGTGAGTACACCCCTCACATTTTTGTAAATATTTGATTATATCTTTTAATGTGGGGTGGCGCGGCATCAAGAAGGTTGTGGGTTCAAACCCCGGTTGCCCCGGCCTTTCTGTGTGGAGTTTGCATGTTCTCCCCGTGTCCACGTGGGTTCTCTCCGGGTGCTCCGGCTTCCTCCCACCATTCAAAGACATGCAGGCTAGGTTAACTGGTGTCTCCAAAATTGTCCTTAGGTGTGAGTGGTTGTTTGTCTATGTGTGGCCCTGCGAAGGACTGGCAACCTGTCCAGGGAGTTCCCTGCCTTTCGCCCAATGTAAGCTGGGTTTGGCTCCAGCACCCCTTCGACCCTGTACGCAGGATAAGCAGTTGACGATGGATGGATGGATCTTTTAATGAGACATTATGGCATGGCATCATGGCAAAGGCAGTGCTGGGAAATAATGGCGGCCACACAAAATATAGGGCCCAAATTGGACATTTTCACTTAGGGGTGTACTCAGTTTTGTTGCAAACGGTTTAGACATTAATGGCAGTGTGGACAGCAAATTCACACTCTTATATAAGCTGTTCACTCACTACTTTACATTGTAGCAAAGTGTCATTTCTTCAGTGTTGTCGCAAAGTTAGAGCCTGGATTACGGTACAAACATCATTCCGGCGCCTCATTTGCACTCCATGGGAAACCAGTATTTTCAACTATTGCCTGATTGTCTCTTGTGTCACCACGTAGCCAGCCTGAATGCATTTCAGAAGCATTGTCTTATATCCGTGAAGAGCGAGAGTCTTAACAGGCGCGAAATCTTGGAGGTGCCTACGCAAAGTCGGCGCACTAATAACAATACCATTTATATTACTTAAAGACAGAAGTATCTCTCAGTGTCTCAAACCCAAACTAAAATAAAACCGGATTAACTTGAAATGTGGGACATGTTTACTTCCAGCTAAATCCAGCTAAATTAGAGCTTCTGGCAGGATTTTGAGGGATCTTGTTAATTCAGAAAAACAGAGCAAAATCTTTTTTTTATGAAAACTTATCTCGAATTTCTGAGATAATTAACTCACGAATTCAGAAAAACAGAGCAAAACAATTTTATTTCAAGAAAAACTTACCTCATAATTCTGAGATAATTAACTGTTAATTCAGAA